ATCGAAGCTTACCTGAAATCGAGCGACAGCAGGGCCGACGGTGACGCAGAACGCACGGTTCCCTTTGAACGAGATCGCGAACGCGACTGTCTCCGCGACTTGGAACGTGCACCGGCTTCGCGAGCGACCGCGGCTGTATGCGGAACCGGTGCGGCTTCGCCCATCATCGCTATACGTCCGGGAACGAGACCGGGAGCGCGAGCGAGAACGACGAGTCGAGCCCTCGTGGGCGCTGGAAAAAGAGTGATTTTCGTGAGCAAAACCCCGAATCTTCAAGCAAAATTTTGATAAAGTACCACTTTGACCATCACCCTGTTTTGAATGCCCTTCCTCGAACACTTGGTCGTAGACGTCAAAAGACGGACTACGACTACCCGGCATCGATGGACGAGAGCTAGAAAAGGAGGGCTATTCCGTAAATGAAAATATTTGAAAGAAACGAAAACAATGCTAACGGCAGTACCAACAATTTTTGCATCGAAAAGCGCTAGTTATGAATTCGGGTTCTTTCGCATTATCGGGGGGGGAGCCACTTTTTTTCTTAGGATCTAATTTTTCTGATATAAATGGTTTTTGTAAATTCTCAAATGGTTTGTACGCGCCTAAACGTGAAAACTATACAAAGTTTTATCAAAAAAATGTCAATATCGTTTTTGATCAAATTTCAACTTTTTCGAGTTCATATATATTTACTTTTTAGCAAAAACCATGAAAACACTTCGATTAAGTTACTAGTCATTCCTACATATAGAAAAAGTTACGTCCGTATGATAACGCGAAAGAACCTGAATTTGCGATTCCAGCAATGGGCGACGAAAACGCTGATTTCGACAATTATCGGTAAAATATAGAACTATTGTATAAGATCATTAGTACAACAATGTCGCCAAAAGCTCTGCCGTTCGAAATCTTGCCAAATCAAAAACGTTGAGCGGCCAATGTTTACGTCCCAGGCGCGAATATCGGATGTGTGGGGTATGGCGACGGAAGCGCCAAGCACTGGTTAGTAAGCACAAAACAATTCAGTAGAGGAAAATTAGTTGACCATGTATCAAATTTCAACAATAATACGCATTTGGATATAATTATTTATTCTTATTCCGTGTTTACAAATTATACTAAATAACAACAAGTCATGCGATAATTGGAGGGGCGGCGCCCATCGATTTGGTCATAGGCTGCTTGGCAGTTACTCGTCCAGCGGCTCCTCTTTCACCATTTTCCGACGAGCACTGTTCCGCTTGATCTCCTGTCGGCGTCGTCCGTCGGGCTGATTCTCGTCTTGTTCATCTTCTTCCACGTCTCATCCGAGCCATCGTCTGATGCCTGGCTTCAGGCAAATATGTGCCAGCCAAAGAATTCAGCGAACCCGGCTGCATGGATGTTGCCAGACCTGCAATAAAATATACTAAGAATTGTGACAAAAATTACCGATAATCGAAGAGGGCGAGCGGTCTCGCCGTAGTGCCAGTAGTTCACTTCAATCAGACGACCTTGTGGCCAGTCACACGAGCGGGGAAGAGGAATGCAGGATCGTCGATGGAGTTGGTTTCCACCAACGAGCCGATCTAAAATTGGCAAATTTACAAAAACAAAACAAAAAAAATTAACGGAAACACTGGCCTTGATCTGTCGGTCGTCGTATGGCACTTTTGTAAACAAGTTCGGATCCGCATCCGGGTAGCGATTTTTCTCTAAAAGGGGCATAAACATAATGCATAGTAAAATTTACTGGGAATTGAGCGCCGGTTGCTTGAAACATCAAGATCAATGCCGTGGGATCTTGCGTAGCCGCTGGGGAACAAGAGCGGCGACGACCAATGCACGGGCAGAACGTCGTTGCCACCCTCACGATGAGGTGGCTGCTCTAAAAAATATGATGGAGAGCGGAAGATGAAAAGGTACCTCAGAATCGATGTACCGGACGTAAGCTCAGATGTCAGATGCGTGCTTTCGAATCATTGGGATCCAACAGTTCGAGGGCAGTGTTCGGCACAAAAGGCACCTACAAATTGATAAATATGACCATTTTACTTGACCGAAATATTAAAATATTTTGCATTAGCGGGGGGACAACATTTTACACAATATACAGCTATATTTCAACTAGAACACTACGAAAGTTGGAAATTTTGTTCAAAACATGGCGATTTTTGGTGGAAAAATCGTTATGTTTTTAGTTTTTCGTAAATTTTAAATTTTTTACGCTTGAGAATAGCCATACAGCTCAGACCCACTTCCGCTACTTATATATTCAATAAATTGGATCCTAAGAAAACACAAACCGATCACCCCGATAATGCGAAAGATCCACATATCTCTACTCGGTTCAGTATCACAATGGGAGAAGACGATTCCGGGCGCCGCATCTCCATCCATCATCCCCGACTACGACGGGCTTGTCGGGATTCTGAAAATTTAGCTTCCTAAGCCAGCAGTAAGGGATGTAACTTTGGGATGCTTGAACGGCATCAGCTGACGACGCGTGCTCGGTAGTTTATAAGTGTCCTTGCTGCGGACAAGGCTATTGCTGACAAGAAGATCTGTAACCCGAAAGATTGGCCCAGCCGACGTGGAAGAGCAGCGGCGAGCCTCTTCCACCTAATTTGTTCCCGTGCGAGGTAGCGAAACACAGTAATCCAATCGCTGGAAGGCCAACCCTTGCCTGCGTGTCATTTGCTGTGAGGATTTGGGGTCATCATTTGCAGGTAGTATCGTATGTCCAGCCGCAAGTATCACAAATCCTCGGAAAATTAAAATACAACCTCCACCTAACACCCGTGGCACGCTCCCTTGACAGTGCCGACGCGCAGGCGATCTGTGCCGAGCAGTATCGAGCAGCTCAACGCGACCCCACACCTCAAATGGTATTTACATGGCGGAAAAGTCGTTTTACCTTGTATTTGGGACCCTGGTTCGCAACTTGCCTCATTTGGAAGGAGCAATGCACCGAACGGCAATACCGATTTCTTTCTTCTTTTCTGCCGCCGCTCACGGCGCGCCGGCGGCGCATTTTCCTCCCTCCCGTCGGTGCGAGTTAGCTTTGCCTATCCACGCCCGATACCTCTCGCATCTTTGTCGCCTCACTTCTCAAACGGAAAAAACAAGAACTGAGTTTTTAAAAAAAAACGTTTTGATCTGGTCTATCTGCATTTCTGCATACTGTCTTCAACAGACGAATGATGTTGGTTTGGAACGCTATCTGCTGCCGCAATATAAAAACAGATGTGCCAGAAAACAGTAATAGCGGTCTTCACTACAACGAGTTAATCTGGCATAAATTATGTCCAGCCGCAACGTGATACGCTAATAGCAGCAAACCACTGCTACTTTGCTTACCAAAGTTACAGCAACGCGTCTTACTGGCTAATACCAACTTTAACAACAAAGGTGAACTTTACAACTACTACTTCTTATGTTTTTTACCGGAAGAATAACGTCGTGAATAAAGTAAAAAAAACAACAGCCTTGAATAACTAAATTTGCAGTCTTGTATAGAGCAACGGTTCGTTCTTTGGTACACGCTGATAGGTAATCAAACCAGTTTTCTGGTTACTTTTCCACCAATGTCTTGCTCATATCTCCGCTGATCAAGCAAACCATCGCTCGCTATGATTAGTTGATATGGAACGACGATCAACGATGAGGTCGACCAACCTCCCATGAGGTCTAGTTTGACGCACTTCTCCTGTCCCGTCGAACTGGCAGTACCGCTGAACCACGATAACATCATCATTCGCACACTGCTAACTTTTTCGAA